TGTGGCTCGTTTCAGATGCAGATTGTTACCGAGGGGATTTCCCTGTGCTCTCTCTCTTTCTCTCAAGCATAAGACATTATACTGGTTCTTTCTTTCTCTGTGGTTTTCCTTATGTGACGAACTGGGACTGTTCTTACTGTGGTCTGTGAATGCTGACAGGGGAGTGTGGCTGGGATAGTCTGCATTGGGGGATGGGAGTCTGCCCGAGGGCGAATGCCTGAGCATGTAGCATGGGAGCCCAGGAGGGGGTTGGAGGCCAGGTGACACCTTGGCCTGGGAAACTGAACAAAGGCTGTGGGAGGGGTCGCTGAAGGCAGAGTGTTGGAAGCAGGCTGGAGAGATGGCTGGGAGGCAGAGATGGCTCTGACCCCCCAAAGGGGGGTGGGCTGGGATGCCCTGGGACCCCAAGCTGGACCTAACTGAGGGGGGGGCCCTGTTGTCTGTGCTTGCAAGACCTGTCTTGGACTGTATTCCTGTCATCCAAATAAACCTTCTGCTTTACTGGCTGGCTGAGAGTCATGGTGAATTGCAGGAGGCCGGGGGTGCAGGGCCCTGAGTCCCCCAATACTCCGTGACATATATAAAATAATGAATGGTATACAGAAGGTAGATCAGATGCCTCTGTTTTGTCACATAACACAAGACCAAGGGCACAGTCAATGAAACTGAAATGTGCCAAATTCAAAACTGATTTTTTTTCCCCCATACAAAACAGTCTAGTGCTTAACTACTCTGACAGTTAGGAAGTTTTTCCTGATGTCCAAACTAAACCTCCCTTGCTGCAATTTAAGCCCATTGCTTCTCGTCCTATCCTCAGAGGTTAAGGAGAACAATGTTTATTCCTTCTCCTTGTAACAACTTTTATGTACTTGAAAACTGTTGTCATGTTCCCCCTCAGTCTTTTCTCCAGACTGAACAAATCCAATTTTTTCAATGTTCCCTCATAGGTCATGTTTTCTAGACCTTTAATCATTTCTGTTGCTCTTTTCTGGACTTTCTCCAATTTGTCCATGTCTTTCCTGAAATTTGGCACCCAAAACTGGACACAATACTCCAGTTGAGATCTAATCAGCGTGAGGTAGAGTGGAAGAATTCCTTCTTGTGTCTTGCTTACTACACTCCTGCTAATACATCCCAGAATGATGTTTGCTTTTTTTGCGACAGTGTTATACTGTTGAATCATATTTAGCTTATGATCCACTATGACCCCCAGATCCCTTTCTGCAGTATTCCTTCCTAGGTTATCATTTCCCATTTTGTATGTGTGCAACTGATTGTTCCTTCCTAAGTGGAGTACTTTGCATTTGTCCTTGTTGAATTTCATCCTATTTACTGCAGACCATTTCTCCCGTTTGTCCAGATGATTTTGAATTTTAATCCTGTCCTCCAAAGTACTTGCAACCTCTCCCAGCTTGGTATCATCTGCAAACTTTATAAGTGTGCTCTCTATGCTATTATCTAAATCACTGATGAAGATAGTAAGCAGAACCGGACCCAGAACTGATCCCTGTGGGATCCCACTTGATATGCCCTTCCAGCTTGACTGTGACCCACTAATTATTGTTTGGGAATGGTTTTCCAATCAGTTATGCACCCACTTTATAGTAGCTCCATCTAGGTTGTAGTTCCCTAATTTGTTTGAGAAGGCCATGCGAGATAATATCAGAAGCCTTACTGAAGTCAAGATATACCACATCTACTGCTTCCCCCCCCCCCCATTCCCCTCAATCTGCATGGCTTGTTACCCTGTCAAAGAAAGCTACACCTCTACCCCGATATAACACGGATATAATTCGGATATAACGCGGTAAAGCAGTGCTCCGGGGGGGGGGAGAGCTGCGCGCTCCAGCAGATCAAAGCAAGTTCGATAACGTGGTTTCACCTGTAACACAGTAAGATTTTTTTGGCTCCCGAGGACAGCGTTATATCGGGGTAGAGGTGTATTAGTTTGGTTTCACACGATTTGTTTTTGACAAATCTATGCTGACTGATATTTATCACCTTATTATCTTAGGTGTGTGCAAATTAATTGCTTAATTATTTACTCCATTAGCTTTCCAGGTACTGAAGTTAAGCTGACTGGTCTATAATTCCCCGGGTTGTCCTTATTCCCCTTTTTATAGAGTGGCACTATATTTGCCCTTTTTTCAGTCCCCTGGAATCTCTCCCATCTTCCAGGAGTGTTCAAAGATAATTGCTAATGGCTCATATATCTCCTCAGTCAGCTCCTGGAGTATAACAGGATCATAGGCGTGCGCACGGGGTGTGCCCAGGGACACCCTAACGCAGGGGTGGAAAAATGGCCCCACTCTCCCAGCGCAGCAAGCCGCGGGGTCTGCGCTCCCAGGCCGGAGTGCCCGGCCGAGCACAGCAAGTCGCTGGCCCCTCCCCCGCCTTCCCTCCCTCCCCTGGAGCCATGCCGCTCTGGGGGCCGGGGCTGCGCGCTCCCGTGGGGCAGTGTTTGGCTCCGCGGGGAGGCAGACACGCTCCCCGCTCATCAGAGCCATGCTGCCGCGCACGCAGTATTCTGAGGGGCGGGGCTGCCCGCTCCTGCGGGGCAGCATGTCTGTCTCTGCACGGAGTCAGACATGCTGCTAGGAGCCTCATGGTAAGGGGTCTGGGGCTGGGGGGGGTTGGATAAGGGATGGGGGGCAGTCAGGGGACAGGGAGCAGGGTGAGTTGGACAGGGGGTGGGAGTCCCGGGGGGTGGTTGGGGTGGAGGGCCTCGTGGAGGGGGCAGGTCAGGGGAGCGGGGGGGAGGGGGTTAGAGTGGGGCATGGGAGTCCCAGGGGGCGGGGATGTGGATAAGGGTTGGGGCAGTCAGGGGACAGGTAGGGGGTAGGGTCCTAGGGGAGCAGTCAAGAGACAAGGAGCAAGGAGGCTTAGATAGGGGCAGGGGTCCCAGGAGGGGGTAGTCAGGGGACAAGGAGCAGGGGGGGTTGGGAGTTCTGAGGGGGGCAGTCAGGAGGTGGGAAGTAGGAGGGAGTGGATGGGGTGGGGGCAGGGCTAGGGCAGGCTGGAGGCGAGGCTAGGGCTGGGCTCCCTGGGTGCACACCCTAATGAAATGTGCTGCGCACGCCTATGAATAGGATGTATTTCATCAGGCCCTGGTGACTTGAAGATATTTAACTTGTTCTTTCCCTATTTTAGCCTTTGATCTTGCCTCATTTTCACTGGCATTCACTATCTTAGATGTCCAATTGCTACTAAACTTTTTGGTGAAAACTGAAACAAAATAGTCATTTAGCACTTCTGCCATTTCCACATTTTCTGTTATTGTTTTTTCCGCCTGATTGATTAGCATTTCTAGTTAATAAACACAACTAAGGGCCTCCCACCAAACTCTTGTCCTTTGTTTTTAATATTAAAAAGCAATTTTCTAATAGTAATAAGACACACCAACACATTGGGAAAAACACCAACCCTGGGTGCACCAGTAACAGATCTGTTGTGATTTATTGCTAGAGCACAGGTTTCCGAGTGGTAGCCATGTTAGTCTGTATCAGCAAAAAGAACGAGAAGTACTTGTGGCACCTTAGAGACAAATAAATTTATTTGAGCATAAGCTTTAGTGGGCTAAAACCCACGGCATAAGCTTTCGTGGGTAAAACCCACGGATCAAGTGGGTTTTAGCCCACTAAAGCTTATGCTCAAATAAATTTATTTGTCTC